TTCCTACCACATTGAACCTCAAAGGCACCATGTTTCTTTTTCCCTTGGTCACATGCACTTTCTGCTAGTTAATTCTTTCATCCTCTCTCCTATCTGATTAGCTCTGACTCATCCTACACATCTGGAAATCCTTGCCCAAAGCCTTTCATATCCCTTTGCCTTAGAATATCCCTTGCAGTTTTTAATTATTTGGAACCTATCTTAAAATCTTGATAATTTGATTATTTTGTTAATACTTGTTTTCTTTTACTAGATGGTGAGCCTTTTGAGAATAGGGACTCTGGCTGGTTTTCATCCCCATTATTCAACAGTATCTAGCATAGTCTGGAGAATATTAATTCCTCTTTAATATTTAATTAACAAATAAAAGTAGAAGCTGCTAAGGAAGAGGAGGGTATAAAGTCATTCTTGAATGGTAATTTTCTAAATCCTAGGCAAGTTCAGAAAAGGAGTGTGGTATCTTAATATTATCTAATGAAAGCCTTTTTAAATTTTGTTTAATAAATACAAATTCATTCATGTGATATATACGGGTTTGGGAAAATGATAAATATCTCCCTCCCACCACATCCCTGCCACCCATACTCCCACCTTTCTTCCTCCTACTTCTTCCTTTCCCATTCTTATTTTTTACAGTGGTAAATTTTCAGTTAATTTTTATACTCATAATATTAACCCTACAATAAGTAGAGAGTTCAACCATTAGTATGGAGAAAAAAGAAAAGAACAAAAATAAACAAGAAAAACATTGTTTCTCAACTGTCAAAGCAAGGGCTGTTCAAAACCATCGCATTTCAAAGTGTTGGTTTCACTCCTATAGATTACATTTTAAGAACTCTGTTAGTTACCACAGATCAGAGAGGCCATATGGTATTTGTCTTTTCTGTGAAAGGCTTTTTGTTACTGGCTAAATATAATGGTTTCTAGTTGCATCCATTTTGTTGCAAATGACTGGATATCATTTTTTTTTTTTAATCACTGTGTAGTATTCCATAGTGTATTTATACCATAACTTCTTTATCCAGTTTTCAGTTGATGGACATCTGGGTTGATTCCATATCTTAGCTATTGCAAATTGGGCTGAAATGAACAGTGGGGTATAGATCACTCTTTCATATGCTGATTTCATTTCCTTTGGATAAATTCCCAGGAGTGAGATGGCTGGGTTATATGGTAGGTCTATATTAAGCTTTCTGAGATACCTCCCTACTGTCTTCCACAGTAGCTGTACCAGTTAACATTCCCACCAACAGTGGATTAAGGTACCCTTATCCCCACATCCTTATCAGTATTTATTATTTGTTAGTGTCTGTGTGGGAGCCATTCTAACAGCGGTGAGATAAAAAATCATTGTGGTTTTGATTTGCATTTCCCTGATGGCAAGTGATCCTGATCATTTTTTCATGTGTCAATTGGCCATTTGAATTTCCTGTCTTGAAAAATGTCTGTTCAGGTCCTTTGCTCATTTCTTGACTAGGTTGGTTGTTTTGTAGCTGTTGAGTTTCTTGAGCTCTTTATAGATTCTACAAATTAATCCTTTAACAGTTGCATAGTTTGCAAATCTACTGAAAGTTTTTAAGAACAGTGGAAGCTTAATATCCAGGTATTTACATAATTGGTCTCATGCCTTTGGCCCTCTACATTTAAATAAAGAGGATGAAAGAGTATTCTACAAAGAAACAAATGTTATTAAACAAAATTTAAAAAGGCTTTCATTAGATAATATTAAGATACCACACTCCTTTATTTGATAGATGTCATCATCTTGAAAATGGTTTCCATCCCTTGATAATGAAACGTTAAATTGTTCTAAAAAAATACTTCTAGAAAAGAGAGACTTCAATGATAAAATTGAAGATAGATAAGCCTGATCATTATCAGCATTTTCTGGCTTTAAAACATCCCAACAAAAGCTCATGCAAATGAGATATTGCATTTTTGCTGCTAAGTTGAAAGAGGAATAAGTGAAACTTTATGATTTAAAGGATTTTTCCACTCCTTCATCCCAATGATTTTCTATGTAAACAAACTAGATATATTTTGAAATGCAGAAAAATACATATGATGTATGGATGCCCTTCAGGGCAAGTATGTGTCTGTATGGTTAACCAAGGATTTAAGCTGGAAACTAGGTTTATTAAGGAGAAACTGGGTCTCTTAAGAATTTTGCAGGTAAATAACATCAACCTGAAATGCAGAGTAACTGATCAGCTAACCGATGAGGCCCAAGTTAGTTGATCTTCATTTCCACAAGAGATCTGATGGGTAGAGTCTGCCCTAGATTATGTTGGGTTTGTAAAGTCAAGTCCCAAAGCTCATGGACATGTAAGTCTCAGGAAAAGTTAAGTTTACAGTCTGAGCTTTTTGTTTCCAAGACTGAAAGCAACCATTCATTGGGGAACTGACAGTGCATTAAATTGAAATGCCTCTTTGTGACAAAGGCGAGGTTAAATACTCATTACTAATGACTATTTGCCCTTTAAACCTTGAGGGAGAAGGGAAAAGCAGATTATGGAATGTGGAAATGAATGGTTAGGACTACTCAAAGGAAAAATGTTGCCGCCAATGAAATTACTTTGTCATTGTTTTATATCAAAGAACAGTCAACTGTCAATTTATATGAAAGAGCTATACTATTTGTTAGAATACTAGCACTGAATTAAAAGGAAGTTTAGATATTTTCTAGTCTGCTCTTGTTTTATAGAAGAAAAAATAAATGGATTAGCAGTTATCAAATAGTATGAATGGATTTGGGGATATTTTTATGCATGTATTTATTGTTGTTACATTCTTCTGATTCTGCCAATATGGAAACAAGACTTTTCGTGGCTAGAATTGCTGCTTGAATTCCAGTACCAGGATGCTACTTTGTGGCTCATTTCGTGTCAGACCCTTCTTAAGGTATCGAAGAACATCATCCCCATCCCAGCGATTACAGTACTTCCCACCTAATACTCTGATGCTGTTTTGGTCTGATCTTTCTTCACCACGTAGTAGCATCACTGAAAATATATTTTGTTCATCTGTGAATTCCAGCTGTTTCACCATGATTGTTAGGCTATTGGGGCCTAATACTTTTTTCCTGAAAAACTAAGTGATCAAAAACTGGTCTATAGCTTTCTACTCACCAACTTTGAGAGACTTTACTTACAATTAGAAATAATGTTTTCCTTCATTATTCCATGCATTGTAATGTAGATTAATTAATTAAAATCCACCTTTTACAGCATTAAGGACATGTGGATGAGGAAGTAGAAGTAAGTTCCAGTAGGTTGAGAAGCCACAGTACCATATTTATTTGAGGACTTTGCATTTATCAAATATATTTTCATCAGGAAAACTTACACAATTTTATGATATGCTATATAATTCCTAAATGTCTGAACTTTAATTTTAAATCTTGTAAGAGATGATTTCAGAAAATTTGAGAAGATTAAAAGACAAGTTTATTGTGGAAAAAACGTTTTGAAATTCATGTATAGTTTTTTCATAATACTCATTTTTTCAGGAACCTTTGATGTCCCCTCATATTTGGGGATATAGAAGGAGATAAAGATTTTTAAAAAGGTATATAATTGTCCACTCTGATAAGGTAATTTTGGCTTACAAAGCCAAAGGTGTAAGAATTCTTAATGGAAACCTCAGAACGCTGATGAGATTCTTCTATTAGTTGTTTAAGAAAGACCTTAGTTATGATGCAACTAGTAAAATATTAGAATATATCAGAGAATAAAGCTGGAATTATGAATTACTCTTTTAAGAATACTTTTTAAATAATGAATGAACATGTATTTATGCCTTTCTGTTTTATTGCATGTATTTTTTTGGATAAAGCATTATATGATTTCTGTTAGGATTTCTGTAAGAGAAAATAATATTTCCAGCTTTCCGTATTCAGTTACCCCATATGGCCCTTGTCTATTTCTTTTCGTTTAACTAGTTGAGAATCTACTTCTGCGTACTGATTCATGATATTTCCTGACAATGCACCCATCAAAGGAGTCAAACTTCAGAAATGGCTACCTTACATTCTCTCTTTAGTGGCTAATACTAGAGCAGTTTGAGATATGGGCTACCTGCCACAAGGTGAACCACAGCAATTTTGATTCCAGCTGATTTGTGGCTTGATCTTTGCTAGGAACTATTTGTTAATGAATAAATTCAAAATACCAGTCTCTGTGTCTATACATCCTCTTTGTTTTTAATACATTTATATTTAATACTAAGTACTGATGTCCACTTATATGGAATATATTTATAGTACCTAACTGCAAGACACATGAACAAGGTGTGTCACAACATAGTAATCTTCCCAGCCCTATGAGGAGTCTCCAGGAAAAATGTCTGTTTTCCTCTAGGAATCGTGATAGGAGGTCAGTAGGCACATGCTGCCTTTTTGCTAGACAAAGCTCCCTCTTCCTTTCCCTCAGAGCACAGAACACTTTTAATAGAACTCGAAATGCTTTCATCCTTTTGGGTTGAAGGACTTTTATTATGGTGAGGACTTCTTATCTCAGAAAAATGAATTTCTTATCATCCAAGGTAGAAGAAAGGACCTCTAAAAGAAACAAACATTTACAAAATACTTTTAAAATCCTTATGAATTTTAAGCTGAGGCCTTCTCCAAGAATAAAATTGTGAATCCTAATTTTTGAATGGAGAGTCCTGTACATCTGGAAGTGAAAACAGCCATTCAAAACCTAGATCCTTTGACTTCGGACTTCGGACCCTTTGCCTTATTTTGGAATTGAGCATCTCAGTACACAGATGCTGATAAAGAGGTGTATCTACAAAAAGAGGTAAAACAGCCAAACCTACTATAATCTTCCCATCAATTTATGTTTACTTTTTAAAAAATCTACTCTGCTTGTAATTCAGGCTGAAACTAGGAAACGCGTTGCTCCTTCCCACCAGCGCTCCTGAAAGTGAAATATATGCTGCTGCTCAGAGCCCACCATCTCCCTAATGGCAATTAAAGCTGGGCAGAGATCCCAATGTAATAAAAACAGTCTCAGAGCTTTTCACTAACCTTGGTCTGGGAAAAGCAACATTGGAGGTTTTATTTCTTGAAAAATACACGGTGTCCATATGATTAAATGCTCTTCATTTTCTCCCAACCACAGGGTGCACACTCAAGCCTTAATTGTGCCAGCTGTTCTCTTAACCCATCACCTAAATATTGCTCTTGAAGTAATCTGTCTTGATACAAAGCCTTTTAGGTTCTCTTTATTACGATTCATCTCTCTTATACTAAACCAAATGTGTTTCCCTCATTTGAGAAAAGTGAGCTCTTTTGAGGAAAATCAAAAGCGAAGATTATTTTTAATTGTATTTATTAAGGCAATTCTCTTTTCCTGTCTTAATTGAACTCTGTTAAGCTTTCAAAATCTTCACCACAAAGGTTGGCTGAGCTATTTTTCTTTTCAAACGAGGCCAAGTTTTGTGGGCACCCATGATGCAGCCCTAATGGTGAGTGCGCAGATTGCTCAGCAAGGTTAGCATTCAAGGCCAGGTTTGTCCTGATGTCCCAAAGCTTCCTCAGGAGTCTTGCAGCGAGGCGCGTCGCAGGCTGGTGGCTTTAACGAAGGAGCTTGGATACCGTAGTGACGTCATGTTCTGTGCTTTTCAGATGATTTGGAAACTGGGAAAGTGATCCATTCACCTTCTCAAATATAAACAATTGATGAAGGAGTTGAGGAGCCTGGGTGAAGAGAATAAAATGTGCTACTTTTATAATCTCTTAATGAGTCTTAAAGTATTTCAAAATAAAAAGATGACTAAAACTGAAAATGACCAAAGCCGAATATGAAGACACCAAACTGCCATGTATATAGGTATAGCTGTAGCTTTAAAAAGTCGACTTAAAATGACAAAATAAAGAATAAAATTTGTTCCCTTTTCATTGCTTCAGCCACAAAATGTGAGACATTCTGTATGCCCAAACCCCTGGATATAATTATGTTAATGAGGGGCAAAAAACAACATTAGGTTATTCTTTAACCAAAGAGTTTAAATCAATGTTAAAGTCTGTCTCTACTTTTTTTTCCCTCTTCTTTCCCTCCCTTTCTGTTCCTCTCTCTTCCCTCTTCCTCTCTCTCTCCTCTTTCCTTCCCTCCACCCTAAGAAGTCTGACCAAAACAATGCTAAAAATAATGCTGGTTTACTTTTACTCTGTTGCATCAGGAAAATACCTCTTAGGTCAAAGTTTTGTAAGGACTGCTGCTCATATCAGATAGACATGCATGTGAAGAGAAGAGAACAAAACAAGCAAGCCAACAGGAAGTCATGTCAGGGTAAACCTGCCATTATTGCTACACCCACTTGTAACAGGGCTTAGGAACTTGGCCCCTAAAATCAAGTAGTCCAGAAAATGTTCTAATCATGACCTTATAGGTGACCCTTACATGTTACTCTCTGTGAACAATATGCTATCTTCTACTTATGTTTAGTAAAAGAAATCCAGGAGTTAATGCATTTAAAGGGTGCCTGGCATACAGTATGGCCTCAGTCACTATTAGCTATTTTATTGACTAAAGGCAAATGACTAGGACTATCCAGATCTCAAAATGTACCTGGATATTTGAAATATGATTTACAAAATCTCTCTGCCAAAGAACATGAAAAATGAGTGCTAAGAGATAATGTGGTTGTGTAAAGGACACCCAGCAGCCCAGAGCCACCTCAACTCTCTTGTTGCACAGTTCCCTCTCCAAATGTAGGGCGGGCCTGTGTAAATAATTCAGTTTCTGCTGGTGTTTATCATACATTATTAAAATATCAACTTGCAGTGCCTATTATCTTCATTTTTAAAATTTTTTTGGTATGTCTCTGCTTTCTTCTTCAGTTTTAATTACCTAAATGCATTTTAATTGCTATCAGGATATTTGTCCTCAATTTAGAGGAGTTACCTATATATCCACGGGACATAATCACTGTAAGTAAATGGAATGAAAGTCAGTATACAGGGCCAGCATAGTGGTGTACTGGGTAGAGCTGTGGCCTGCATTGCCAGCATCCCCATGAGCACCGGTTTAGGATGAAGCTCCTGGCTACCGGCTTCAGCCAGGCCCAAGCCCAGCCGTGTGACCATTTGGGGAGTGAACCAGGCAATGGAAGATTTTTCTCTCTGATTTTCTCTTCTCTCTCTCTCTCTCTCTCTCTCTCTGTAACTTTGCCTTTCAAATAAATAAAATAAATCTTTAAAAAATCAGTATATTGTATAGATTCTTCCAGAGCTTCAGGCTAATTTTTAAAGAAATGTCTAGCTCACCTAGGCATGTCATTTTATTGTTTTAAGAGATTTAGCAGTGAAAGAGAGAGGAGAGTTCTTTCATCTGTTGCTTCATTCCTGAAACTCCCACAGCAGCGAGGTGCTATGGCAGCCTAAAGCCAGGAGTCTATCTGGATCTCCAATGTGGCTGGTAGGGACAAGAGTGTTTGAACTGTCATCTGCTGCTTCCCAGGTGCATTTTCAGGGTAATGGGTCAGAAACAGAGGAGATGGAACTCAAACTAGCACTCCAGTGTGGGATGTGGGCATCCCAAGTGGCAGTTTAACCTACTGGGCCACAATGCCTGCCTCATATTTTTTTTTTTTTTTTTTTTTTTTTTTATGTAAGGCCCAGGGGTAGAGGATCTTTTTCTTCTGCCAAGTACTGTAATTTATAACATCATTAGTGAGCCATACAAAATAATCAACTTCAAAATTAGCCTGCTTCAATTTATTGAATTTCAAGTCCTGCCTGCAGTTGTCTTGGCAGAGCCAGACCACATGATTTCGTGAGCCTTATATGGCCCATGGGCCAGTTGTGTCCCACTCTGGAGCCATTTTACTTATTGAGAAGCAATAAGCAGTCTTAAGTGCTGGATAAAATGAATATTAATTTCTAATGTCCTAGAGTATACTGATTCATTTTCAATGTAAAAAAGCAAATGATTTTTCTCATAGTGGAACTTCAAGAAACATGAAGATTTTCTACTGTGTGAAAATATGTTGGTTTCCAATTTAAGATCAGTAAATATTTTCTTGAAATTATAGTGCAAGAAATAACCAACTCTCATGTTGTAAGATATTATATTTATTAACAAAAGAAGGAACTCTGGGTTTTTGTTGAAGTTGGCATAGCCTTTGCTGAGATAATATTAATAATATAGAGGACTTATATAAAACCTTATTACAGCAACTATATTTGCATTTATTCTCTTAATGCAATTTTATTTTAAATCATTACTATTTGCTTAATGGAGAAGAACAATGATACTGAAGATAATTTTTTGATCAATTGCTTAATAAGGCTGACCACTAAAGAAAGAGCTTAAAATCTGACATTCAACATTATAGTTAGATTTGCTTTCTTAGTTTCTATTTCTTAAAATAAGAGTACTGATTTAAAAGTTTTCTGAATCAAATAAATGAATAGAAGGACTTGAAACTATCAAATCAGAAAAATTCAGAGATTCTTTAGTTAAATGTAATATGTCTAGGCCGGCGCCGCGGCTCACTAGGCTAATCCTCCGCCTTGCGATGCCAGCTCACCGGGTTCTAGTCCCGGTCGGGGTGCCGGATTCTGTCCCGGTTGCCCCTCTTCCAGTCCAGCTCTCTGCTGTGGCCATGGAGTGCAGTGGAGGATGGCCCAAGTGCTTGGGCCCTGCACCCCATGGGAGACCAGGACAAGTACCTGGCTCCTGCCATCGGATCAGCGCGGTGCGCCGGCCGCAGCACACCAATCGCGGCGTCCATTGGAGGGTGAACCAACGGCAAAAGAAGACCTTTCTCTCTGTCTCTCTCTCTCACTGTCCACTCTGCCTGTCAAAAAAAAATGTAGTATGTCTAATTTCTACCTTAAAATGTGAAAATAATTGCCTTGGAATATATACTAAAATAATTTTAGTCTTCTTTGTTTCATTACCTAAGCAAAAAATACAAATAAAGTTTTATTTTGCTGATTAAATTTTTAGCCTATTTATTTGCTTAATCTGAAAGGCAGAGCAACAGAAAGAGAAGGAGAGGCAGAGACAGAGATCTTCAATAGTTGCTGGTTCAACTTCATAAGTGGCCATAACTGCCAGTCCTAAACCAGGATCCAGGAACTCCATCCTCCTCTCCCACAAAGGTGGCAGGGGCTCAAACACTTGGGCTTTCTGCTGCCTTCCCAGGCTCATTAACAGGAAGCAGGATGGGAAGCAGAGTAGCCAAGACTTCAACAGGCACTTTATTCATTTATTTGTTTTTTGACAGGCAGAGTTAGACAGTGAGAGAGAGAGACAGAGAGAAAGGTCTTCCTTCCATTGGTTCACCACCCAAATGGCCGCTACAGCCAGCGCATCACACTGATCCGAAGCCAGGAGCCAGGTGCTCCCTCCTGGTCTCCCATGGGGTGCAGGGCCCAAGGACCTGGGCCATCCTCCACTGCCTTCCCAGGCCACAGCAGAGAGCTGGACTGGAAGAGGGGCAACCGGGACAGAATCCGGCGCCCCAACCGGGGCTAGAACCTGGTGTGCCGGCACCGCAGGCAGAGGATTAACCAAGTGAGCTGTGGTGCCGGCCTAACAGGCACTCTTGATATTGCATGCCAGTGTCACAAATGGTGGCTTAACCCACTGTGCCACAATACTAGCCCCTACATATTAAATATTTTAGAAACATTTGGTAAATAATAATTTCTTTCAAGTTGAGCTTGTATAATAGTAAAACATTACAAAATAAAATAAAATTGAGTTGCTAGTAGTAAACCCAAATGATTTTTCCACAACTGAACCCATAAATATATTTTGTCACTTTTGTTGTTTCCTGTGTTTTAACTGAATAAATCACATACATTTATTTAATTAACATGTGGAAATTTATTCTGCAGTTGGACTGTATCACAATTTTCCTCACTATTCATTACCTAGTAGTGTACATTCTGAAATACCTGTAAGGTTTTCAGTAAAGTATGAACACTTATAAAGAATATCAATGAAACTTAAAATCTGTAGAAAACCACTATATCTAAGAGAAAGGTCTGGTGATACTCTGTTGACAGTGAGTCTGCTTTAGGAGAATGGCAATTGGAACTTAGAATATAATGATGTTGTCAAGGTTAATAGACTCCACATAGTACCATGACCCGCTGGTTTTACTAACTGGAACCTTTTATTTCATTTGACGCTAATAGGTTCTAGGCTACACAAAACAGTAAGGTTATTATATGCATTTTTATTCTTATACATCTAATTTTTAATAGGGTTTAATTCCTGGCTAAGTCTCTGGATACCTGGCAATATCTAAATGAGATTGCAAGCTAGCATTGCTTTATTGTTGTTGGAATCATATATTTATTGTTTAAAATATACCTTCAGTTGAGATAATTTAAAACACTTTTGTGCCGGCACTGCAGCTCACTTGGCTAATCCTCCACCTGTGGTGCCGGTACTCCGGGTTCTAGTTCCGGTTGGGGCACTGGTTCTGTCCCGGTTGCTCCTCTTCCAGTCCAGCTTTCTGCTGTGGCCCGGGAAGGCAGTGGAGGATGGCCCAAGTGCTTGGGCCCTGCACCTGCATGGAAAACCAGGAGGAAGCACCTGGCTCCTGGCTTCAGATCAGCACAGCACGCTGGCCGTAGCATTCATTTTGGGGATGAACCAACGAAAGGAAGACCTTTCTCTCTGTCTCTCTCTCACTGTCTAACTCTGCCTGTCAAAAAAAAAAAAAAAACTTTTGTTACATAATTTACACTATAGTCACGAGCTAACATTGCCCAAATAAGAGCTGCTTTATTTATAACCCAAAATGGGTCATTCGAAATTAATAGTAAGATTTGATATTAGTATTTATCTATTGTAATCAAGTTCTTTCACCTAATAATAGAAAAAACCCATAAATGATATTAAGCTAAAACAACAATGACACCTAAAATGTCCAAGAAGTTTTATTGTATAGAGGTGGAGGAAACCAGGTTTACCATTATGATCTTTAGCTCAACTTTGTTCTTGCTCTTTCTTTCACTTGTTCTCTCTGATTTCTCTTTTCCCGTTTTCTCCTTCTACTCTCCTTCCCTTTCTTCTTCCCCATCTTGTTCTTTCTCCATTCCCCTCTGTTCTCTTCATATCTTCAAGAGGCTTTCTCTCCGTGTGATAAGATAGATAACAAATTGTTTCCATGATTGTTACTTATAGTTAACCTAGAGGAATGTTGCCATGATTGTTACTTATAGTTAACCTCTTTTTAGTCTGTGTCACAAGCTGGATTCCTGTGGAGCTGACTCTGAGACTGAGTTTAACTTCCATTTGTTGGGATCAGGGCCTGTAAAAGTAACGAGAGGAAAATAGGAAGAGCAAAAAGGAGATGAAGAAAGAGGCCCAAGGACTGAGTTTGCTCAGTTCTTGTCTACTGACTGTCTTCCCTCTCTCCATACTCAGGGCATTATGTCTTTCATTGATGGGGGTAAGGGAAAAGTGCATCAGTGTCTCGACACCAGCATCACTTGGCCTGTTTCAAAATTAATAAAGTGTCTGGAAATGGAGTTAATTAATTCACCTATCCTATTCTGTGGTTGAGACTAAGGTGGGATTGGATTTTGTGTAATCAATCTCACTTAAGCCTTATAAAATTGATCATACACACACATAAAGATGAACTCAGTTATTGAAGAAGAAAATAGAGGTGTTACATTGGCACTTATGTGAAAATGTCTTGCTTTGGGTCACTTGAATATGAAGACAGATTGTCTTTAGGCTTTTAAAATCAAGAGAAGAGGGCAGACATTTACCCTAGTGGCTAATACATCCATTTCTGACATCATAGTGGGTTTGATTTCTGGCTTTTGCCACTGTCAAATCTGGGAGACAATGATGATGGCTCAGATAATTGTGTTTCGACCACACAAGTGGGAGACCGGATTGAATTCCTGGCCAACCCCAGCCATTATGGGCGTTTGGGGACTGAACAAGCAATGAGTGCTCTCTGTCTGTTGGTGTGTCAGTCTCTCTTTCTCTGTCTCTCAAATGAATAAAAAATAATTTTACAAATAATCAACTAAAGAGAAGTATGATAATAGTATACGTTTTTATTTGGTTTGTAGACTCCAGATATGTTTCCTTCTAAGTCTATCCTTTCCTTTGTTATTAAGCATATATTAGATCACAATATAACAGTAAAACACAGCCAGTGTGATCTTCTTGTTCATGAGGAGTTGATGATGGTTCAGTTATTTGTGGCTTAAAGTATATAAGATTCCTGTTCCTTCTTTTTTTCTCAAAACAATGCATTCCATTGAATAAACATCTTTGACTAGAATTCTTTGATGGAGCATCTTACAGAAAAATACACACTAGGAAAAAAAAAAAAAAAAAGCCTGAGTGACTTGGCAAGAATCTGAAAGACAGCAGAATTAGTGGTGATACTTCTTCTATTAATAGTTAAAAGTCAATATTTGCAGTTGTGTTGTAGAGACCAATCATACATCTTAGCACTTTTACTAAATTGTAACTTAATGAAGGCAGAATGCCTTCCATGTCAAAAAATATATACATCCACTGTTGTATAGTATTGATATTTGAATATATTTACACAAGCAAACATGTCAAACATGTCAGTAAATTAACTGTGCTGAGTTTAAAGCACATATATTTGTCATAATAGTTAAATTTAACATTCAGTGGAATAATATTATCATCAGAAATCCAGTGTCAGCATCATTGATTTCAGTGTTAGTACATTTTAGCCTGTAGTGGCAGCCTTCTTGAAAACTATGTCAGTCCTTTCCCATTTGACATCCTCAATATGTAGTCAGATTAATATATGGTTAGTCACAAGAAGTAAGCAAATGCTTAAAAAATGAATGAAAAGTTGACCCTCCATTATATGCTAAACTTAACACAATCTCAATCTCATTTTGTCTTCAGAGACCTCTGGGAAATAGGTATTGTTAAACCCATTCTGAAGATGGAAAAACTGAGACTCAGACATACTTAAACACTAATTGTAAGAGAAGTCTTAGGATTCAGTCACATAACCTACGCTCTTTGTATCATCTCAACTATCTTGGATTTTTGTTTGTTTCTGTAAGATCAAATAAAATATAGTAATAAAATTTGACTATTAATGTGTTACCAGATGGTGGTCTAATTAAAAGAGCTATCTATATTTTCCAAAATCATACTCTGTTTTCAGAATATATCACCACCTTAGACAGACTGCTTCTTATCTTATACCTATAACAATTGCATCAATTAGGTAAGAGAGGGTTTTAGTATCCTTATTTTAGAACTTGGAAACAAAAGCATGTTAGCAAATACAATGAATTTAGGACTCAGATCATAAAGGTGTCCCTATGGCTTTGTTAAGCCTAAATTATTGACACAACATTAAGGAGTATAAGCGTGATCTGAAATTTCCTATTCTAGAATATTTTTTCTTAATGCAAGAATTTTATGCTGTCCTCACTGAAAAAAAATGTGTGTAAGATTACTTCTCACATTTTTATTATTGGATATAATACATGTTCATTAAATAACTTTAGAAATACTGAAAAATGAAATAAACCTAAAGAAGAGAAAAATCCAAGCATGAAAAACTTTATCTTCTTTTAATGTTCGTTTTATTGCTAGTGGTGGTATAAACATCCAATGGTACTTTTACCTTATGTTAAAAAATGGTATTCATTTTTATCTTTGAAATTACTTATATTTTGTTTGTACAGTCTGCCTGTTTTAGTTCCTACTTATATGCAAGAAAAATGCATTTAAAATTGGAGACAAAAATATCATCATTTGCCCTTCAATTTGACTTGTGGTAATGCTAGCATTTGTGATGTTCTTTTGAAAAATTTTCTAGTCACATCATGTTTTGTCTTAAGAAGGTACACACCATTTACTGCCATCCATCTTTTCATCATGGGCAAGATTGAACAACACATGCAGAACCTGGAAAGATGGGAAATAGCTGAGAGATTTTTTTTTTTTTTTGAGGCCTCAGAACCCTCCCAGAGGATTATGTTCCATTTTCTGCCAGTTCCCTTAATTTTACCCAGGTCACCAACCCTTGAGACACAGGGTGCTATAGCTCATCGTACTCATGAATGTTAGACAACTGTAGATACTCCTGGCATCCTAAGTTGGATCATTTTGAAAAAATAAGGGTAACGACCCTTGCCTTTTCTTTTTCTCCTAAGGATAAAAATGAAGTTGCATTTGGAATAAAATTATTTTTTCATTCTTGAGGTTACCACTTGTGGTGACTGTTGACAGTGAATCAAATTTCCCCTAAGACAGTGTGAGACACAGCTGCCTCCTTACAGAGTTAAGCTTACTGGTAAGTGCTCATTGGTTTGTAGATTACTACAAGAAGTGCCATGTAGTTAATGGAAAGCTCCTTATAGTCAGTCTTATCTTTCTCCTGCAAATCTATAAGTGCTTATTTGGTGCATATACTCTGCCATTTTAACAATGGCAGCTTTCTTGATTTGGAATTGGCTAAACTAATGCCTCCTTGGTTCTGTGAATGTCCCTTGCCAGCTATTAGCAATAGAGAAAAAAATGTCATTTGGAAGAAGTTAAGTCTGCTATCCCTGTTCCCAAAGGCACCCTGAAATGTGGCAGATGGAAACACAATAGCAATTGTGTAGCATGACTGCTGTTATGACAGATACATAATACAAGCTAGTAATTAGACCACTCATTACCACTGTTGTAATCTACAGTTACAACAGTGCTATGGCAAAGGATCCATCAACTGCTGAGTCCTCAAAGAAGTGACAGGGTGACCTGCAGAACCGGTAAATGCTGTTGACTTAAGGGAGTCACATGGGCCACCATTTTGGTGTGCCTGACTGCCATCAAAGCTTATTTCCCTCTGTGTTAGCTGCTTGAAGATTTACTTACCAACAGGCATTTTCTCAGTGGTATAATCTCAAAAAAATTGGGCTTCGCGGAGTCAAGAAGAGTTCGTTTGTTTTGGGTGGATTTTAGGACCTACCTTCTGTAACTTTTTTTTTTTTACGATATCAAATGCTTGGGAATGAAGCATGTGTTATTATTTGGAAATATTTAATAGGCTTTGGGTAAGTCATTTGTTTTCCTTTGTCTCTGGATTTTCTTGTATGACATTTGACACTTCTTCAAGTGAACAATTGAGAATAGCCCATTACTAAGGAGTACCTTTTATTGGAAAATGGGTGTTATGCCTGATGATGAATTAGAGCCAATAAAATCTAGGTCAACAGAGGTGTCTTTGCTTACAGAACTGAGCAAAACTATATATGTGGAAGAACCTAAAGTCCTACAGATGCGAAATGCTACTGGAACCGTAAAGGAGTCTCCAAATTGTAATTTTTGTGCACATTTAGGATTCATATGAATTTGTTACATTTTTACTTTCTAATGTATCACTCATGTGATTGACCAGTAGTTAGTGCAGCAAGTGTGGAAGTGTTCCCCTCTGAAAGAACAGCAGGTGAGGGTCTAGCTTTCTTGTTGTGAAAAATGACATTTCAGCTTATACTTCTTTCTCTCTTTTTTAAAGGTTGTATTTGTTTATTTGAAAGGCAGAGTAATGGGGGAAGAAATAGATAGATAGATAGATAGATAGATAGATAGATAGATAGATAGATATTCCATCCACTAGTTTATTCCCTAAATGCCTGCAATAGCGAGGGCTGGACCAGGCCAAAACTAAGAGACTGGAACTCCATCTAAGTCTGCAACATGTATATCAGGGGCCCAGGCACTTGTGCCATCACCTGATGCCTTCCCAGGCATATTATCCGGGAGCTGGATCAGAATTTGAGCAGACAACACTCGAACTGGCACTCTGATATGGATGGTCTGTGGTCGTACCAAGTGGAAGTTAACTTGTGGTACCATAATTCTCCTTCCTCTGTTTATTTTTTGATGCTTAAATTATGGATGGAAAAAGCTTCAAAATGTAATTTATTCATCTCCTCCCTTGCTTTATTTTCTTCCTAGCAGTCATCATTCTCTTAAGTATTTGTGTTAAAATATAGGACTATAAGCTCTCAAAAGACACGGCCCTTGCTGATAACTTACTTACCACCACTACATCCCAATGCCTAGAGAAATGCCTATCCTGCCATGAAGCAGGTATTCAGAAAACATCTGCTCTAAGAATGTGAAAGTAACTCCCAAGGGTACTCTCTTTGCTTGAGAAAACATCCTTACAGTAAAGTCCCGGCAAAAGATGTGTCTTGATTCACAATCAGGTCATGAACATTCTGTTTAGCTGTTCGGTTCTACTTCAAATTATACTAAAGGTGAAATAGATAAGCTTACGCCTTCACCACCATGAGTAACATTTTGCTTAAAATTTTAAATGCAGGATTGTAAACAATTTATATACACACACACACACACACACACACACATATATATATGGCTGCCTATTCGTAAATCCTAAGGAAAAGACATACCACATAGTTAACTAAAGCTGTTTAATTCCATTATAATTTTTTTGGTCCGGTGCTACTTTAGAGGAGCATTTTTGAATACTATGGTTGAGGGATAGTGGAATATAAGTATTTAATATTTAACACATAGTAACAGCAGACCTGTTTATTAAATTAGTACTTACAGACTTATAGGAAACCCTAACTTTTGCTGTAGCTACATTTATTCCAGACATAAGATTTCTCATTATAAAATTAAATTCCACTGAAATTCCAACCTCTGTTTTGATCCCTTGTATGTAATATGAAATGCAATAAGAATATTAAAATGGATGAAAATTTTCTCTCTAATAAGTAGTTTCAAAGTCAATCCTTTTATACCCCTTTTATGGATTTGCAACTGTTAAATTATGCTGGAGTTGTGTTATAACAATATATGTAGGAGTTAAATACACCTGGACTCGCTGTAGAGAAAGCCTCTGATTCAGGCTCCAGAAATGTGTGGAATGCTTCAGTTTGGCTTCTTGCTGCCTCTACAAAGTTTTCAGGAAATTGGAGCTATGGGGAGCAAATTTGCTTTATTGTTTAAGGATTGCCAATAGCTGTACATTCCTTTGAAAGTCTAGTTTTGCTCAGATGATAAAATGATATTCTGAGAGGGACAGCAAAATGCATACTTTCCAAATTGAAGAAAATCTAGGTACTGGCGTTAATCTTTAAAACCCAGCTCTTAGGCAAAAGATACATAATGCTGCCTTTTATGTGGTTCTCGTGTATCCCATATCTTTACAAATCACAGTCATAAACCCAAGTATTAGCAAGAAGTTTTACCATTAAAGCTTTGCAACTAGTAATTAATAATGCATTCACTTTACTATAAAACCCTTTCAGAGAAATTTCAGACTTAAACAACTAATGATATAAGTAAGTGAAAAGGTTTCATACTGCTAAAAATAAGCATATTGGCTTTTGCATCATTCAACATGCTACCAAATTATCTAAATAATACATCATTATTCAGTTGTACTTGGTCTCTCTAATAACTCTTACTTCTTACTGCTATTTTTCATTGCAGATGTTAAATTGGTTAACTTCTTAAACTATTTCTATGCTTAACATTGATTAAAAAACACTAATAAACTATATGTAAGTCCCTTTTTGCCAGATTTTGAAGTAATGCCACCAAAAGTTTCCAATAGTGCTATTGTGTTATTCTACTTTTTAATACTTACACTAAACTAAAGAGGCTTATTTCAGCTTACACATCAGAGTTTACAATTCTGGATCAGGTGACCCATAGCCTCAGGTCTGGTAGAAGCTGGTTATGGTGAGTGTGGAGCTGAGAAAGAGAGAGAGAGGGAGATAGGCTGAACTTGAATTCAAGTCAACCTCTCCAGAGAACTCCACAGGCAAGCCACCAACTACCTAAACACCTTGCCGCTGGTCCCACTTCCTAGCCACCACAATTAGGTCAAGCCCCACCATTAGCCTATCAACCATTAACATTAAAACATAAGAGTTTAAATGTCTACATGAGTTATGCAGAGATAAGTCCTATTCAACTCATAACAGCTATCTTCCAAAATTTTTGTCCTATTGGAAATTCCTGAAGAATTAACTAAAGGACACTGGTCTCTTAACATTTTAAAAATGTGTCATTTCTTTTCTTATACTTTCTCCAAAACATGTTTCTTCCTGAATTTGAATATATCAAACTTTGGGTGGGTATTCATACAGTCAGGAAAATCCATCTGTGGTCTTAGCGTAAAGACAAAATATGAAAAAAATTAAAATACACTGAACAAAGGCATATGTATATTATACATTTCAACTTATTGCTAGTTTGTGTTGTTTCTTTGCCTTAGTAATATATATTGATATAGTATCAATTAATTATAAACATTTATTTTTCCATGGATACAGGATATTTAATCTTTAGAGGCTTAGTTTACTTCTGGAAATAATAATATCTCCATTATATTTGGTCTTGTGAAGGTTAAATCAGTAGTACATGTGACATGCTTTGTTCAATGCCTGGGTTATATTAAACACTTAATGCTCATTTCTTAATATTGTTGCTTTTGCATTATAAATAATACTCTAGTTTTCATATAACAAATTGCATGATTTAGGCATTGAAAGTTCTTCATATTAAGTGAGTAGTCATTATTCTTTCTAGTTGCTGTGTCACCTACTCATTTTTTTTTCAATGTTGTGACAGTAGATGGGTGAATTAGGTACAATTCTCAGCATGTAACTGGTGCTCTTAAGCCTTAACTTCCAGCTGCCATTTTTATGGCAGCTATAACAAACATGTCACAGTACAGAACATTCCATTAAAAGCAGTACTTAATGCCAAACTTCCTATGATGCTGTTTTATATGAATAATGCACTGTCCAAAGGTGAAATTAGTTGGAGTGCCCATGACTCAGCCTGCTTTTTTTTTTCTGATGAATGACTCATTCCACATTTATAGATTCCAGATTTTGTGCCATATACCACACTAAGTGCTAGAGATATAA